TTAAGTAAATTAAAGTTCTGGTTCGTCATGAATTCAGTAGTGAAGTGGTAAACCGAGTTAAGTCGATTTTGACTATTAGCCAGTTTTTGCTGAATATCTCGAAATCTAAGAGAGATAGCAACTTTTTTCTCATGACTTTTTTTGTAACGCTCTATTGGCTCTACAAAAAAGGTCGTGACAAAAATCTTTCTATCTCTTGTAGATTCCGAGATATTCGTCAAAAACTAGCCAATAGTAAAAAACGACTTAACCCGGTTTAGCGCTTCGCTACTGAATTTCACGTAGAGTTTTAAAAAATTGTACCTCGCATGATTAAATGAAATTAACTGCGATTAGAATGTAAATTTACACACGTCAAACACAAATTACACAATAATATGAGATACAGTAATACACGCACCTTAACATGACCCATCGGTCTGCACTGACAGATCGTTGCCTGTCCCCAGGAGGCATACACCGTACTTCCAACAGCCGGACATCCGACTCTACGAGCTCAATAAGAGGTTACAACAGCGGACTGAGGTGAGTTTAAATATTCAACATTTTTTTCGTCCCTCAGTAGAATTTTCTCAACGCAAACTGTCTGATCTTGAATAAAATTTGTTGTGATACCAGCTTGAAAAGTTCGCTTTTCGAAACCGTTTGGTGTGCGTAAAGTGCTTGTTTTACGCACGGCGTGCGTAAAGTTCAGAGGTCGCGCGTAAAGCGTCGCTTTGCGTTACGCGTGCGAGCAAAAAAGTGGTTCTTTACGCACTCGTAACACAATTGTAACACAAGTGAGACTTTTCATACGTTGAAGATCGATTATATAGATCTGAAAACGAATAATCAGTGCAAAAATAATTTTTTTTTATTGTTCGTTTGCCCAAAAATACTTAAAATGAAAAAAACAGTCCAGGGCCTCCAATTGTAGAGCTACAAAAGATTTTTTTTTTTTTCAAATTTTCGAAAAAATGTGTGGAACAACAATTACGAGCCATTTTTTTTTAATTCGACTCCTACACAGCTGATGTCAGCTTTTTTCATATAGAAAAATTCACTATGCGCGGAAAAAAACTTTTAAAAAAGCAAATTAAAAAAAAATTAGCTCATAATTGTTATTCCACATATTTTTCTCAAAATTTTGAAGAAAAAAATCCTTCGTAGCTCAAAAATTGAAGGTCCCGGACTGTTTTTGCCATTTTAAGCGTTTTCGGGCAAACGAACAATTGAAAATTTTTTTTTTGCACTAATTATTCGTTTTCAGATCTACATAATTGATCTTCAACGTATGAAAAGTCTAACTCCAATAACCCACGACCTTTAAAACTCATAGTAGTCTCCTCTTAATAGTTAGGAAATGCATATTTGAAGACCCTTGTTCGACTCGACTTTCACCTTTCAAGTGAATCATTCTATCAGTGTACTATCAAATCACATTAAAAATTCACATGCAGAACATGGAGAACGTTAAAATTATGTAAATTAAGGAAAACAGTTAAGAAGACATTATTAAGTTCAATGATTCTGAATATTTTTGTGTCGTAGACATTATTTGACAAAATGAATTCATTAAGACACATTAGTCCGTCGATCCAGTCGACGGCTTGTCAATAGCCTGTTTCAGATATTTTTCACAACATTTTTTTTCTCGATTTCCTACGGAAATTGTGAGAGTTGTTGAATTAAGAGTGTAGGCGGTAGAGTATTATACAGCACGTCGCGTGTCGCATAACGATAAATCATCTCTTCTCGTTTGCTTATATCGTCTTGGGATCACTCCTGACTCTCCGGTGCGCCTGGTGAGATCTCTCTGTCCGTGGTGCACCCTTCATCGTTCCTCTTTCAGTGCCATTCCATTCCTCCTCTCGCTTCACTCCTTCCAACCGATTCCCTACCCTTGTGATGTTTCCTGGAGATCATGCGCTCGAAAATTTGTAATTCTTCGCACTGGTGCACAATACATCACTACTGACATGTGCTCCCGTTCAATATTATCCAATTGAATACTTCCTTGAAGATTTTTCTGTATTCATCCTACGTGGAGAGAAATATTCAATAAAAATTACGTATCTTTTCCATAATTTCGGAGCGAAATTGGCGAACTGTCACGGAATTTTTACCTAAAATCACGGAATTTTTCCAGAGCGTTCTGCAATTTTTACCTGCACGGAGAGAAATATTCAATAAACATTATGTATCTTTTCCGTAATTCCGGGGCGAAATTGGTTGTAGGAAATTTTACGGAACTGTCACGGAATTTTTACCTAAAATCACGGAATTTTTCCAGAGCGTTCTGTCATTTTTACCTGCACGGAGAGAAATATTCAATAAACGTTACGTATCTTTTCCGTAATTCCGCAGCGAAATTGGTAGTAGGAAATTTTACGGAACTGTCACGGAATTTTCACCTAAAATCACGGAATTTTTCCAGAGCGTTCTGTCATTTTTACCTGCACGGAGAGAAATATTCAATAAACATTACGTATCTTTTCCGTAATTCCGCAGCGAAATTGGTTGTAGGAAATTTTACTGAACTGTCACGTAATTTTTACCTAAAATCACGGAATTTTTCCAGAGCGTTCTGTCATTTTTACCTGCATATTTAATAAAAATAACGTATTTCTTCCGTAATTCCGCAGCGAAATTGGTTGTAGGAAATTTTACTGAACTGTCACGTAATTTTTACCTAAAATCACGGAATTTTTCCAGAGCGTTCTGTCATTTTTACCTGCATATTTAATAAAAATAACGTATTTCTTCCGTAATTCCGGAGCGAAATGTGGTTATAGGAAATTTTGCGGAACCGTCGCGCAATGTTTCCAGAGTGTTCGGTAATTTTTACTTGAATCTCCTGTGAAAAATTACGAGATCGTCACGTAAATTTTCTGAGTCGATTCCGACATCGCAAGTGAACTGTGAGTTCCGTAATTTCTACTGAACATTTCTGTCCGCGTAGAAAAGTAAAAATTTTCTGTATCATCATGAGACGTTTTCTTTTAGTAGTTTCTCCATGAGCTTTTCACACTCCCTATTAGAGGTGGATAACCGACTCGTTAACCCTCACCATTGAGTACGTAATTTTCAGTTACTATGCTGAAATTACATACTCAATGGTGAAAATACTGAAATTTGTGAATGTTAAAGGGACTTGGATTTCCTCAATTCAGGGCGCTAACGAGTAATAATTATATTCAGAAAAAGGAATATTACAGTCTTTCTTCGTCTCATTGTTTTTTTTTCTATATGAGTTTTTTTTTATAGTACATGCATGAGCCGTAATAATAGACACAACGTCCCCATAGTCTCCATAGCGTTACGAGGCCATTAAACGGATTATTAATAGTGGAACGTTGCAATATCCACGTATTTAGGTTAGTTGAGTCGGCTGATATACGAAGACCAGTCGATGTGGTCTCTCATTGTCATTTTGAATTTCCTCGGGAAGATACAAAGATGATTATTATTTGCATATCAATATTTTCCCTGTCACCTCTCTGAGAATGGCTACCGCATTTATCGTATAACAGTGGTGGAATTTTTACTAATCAGAGTTATACCATTCTCATGGGGGTTGCTGCGTTCTATAGCCAAGAAGGGAATAAAAAAATACAGAAGCATCTTGGGTGCTCTCTCTGAC